TGTAGTGATACTGCCTTGGAAACCCAAGGAGGGGTCACTGTGAGTCGAGTCCAACTCGATGGCACATAACAACAAACAACAACAACATATATGTTTGTATATATATGTATGCATATATATGTATATATATATATACATATATATGCATATATTCATATATGCATATATCTTTATATACTATCTGCTTGTAGTTTAACGTTTTTTCCAAGAACTGAGAGTTACTTGCCCATCCATTAAACCTACCTCGAAGGAGGTACTGGGATCTGATTAGATGTTGACACTCCAATTTTATTTAAATCAAAAGTAGTTTTTAAAGGGTCTAGTGTACCAGCCCCCTCAGAAGCAAAATCCTGACTGTAAGAAAAACCTTTTGTGCTGTCCCTTTAAACCAGGAGGGTGTAGTTCTGCTTGCACAAATGAAAAAGGAAAACATCTCACAAGCCAAGAGCTAAAACCAGTCAGGTCCTAGCTGCATGCTGTGAAAAGAACTAAGGGCATCAACTCCCTTACTGATCTCTAGGCTTGTGGAGTCTTGAAATTCCTGCCTTGTTGTGTGTTTAAGAGAACAGAGAAGGGGGTCACTCCAAATTGTGCAAGTCCCTAATAATAAAGGATTGGCCCCACATTGATGCCACCAGGTTCTTTATGTTCAAAACCAAACCCACCTTCTCTCAGGATCCCTCACCTCTTGTGTTCTCGTTACCTCTTAATGGCTGTCACAATTCCTCCAACTGTCTAAACTCAAAGCTTCACTGTCATTTCTGGCTCCTTCCACTCAGCAGCATCCACACCCAATTAGACCCAAGTTCTGTAAATGTCCCTACAAAATGTCTATCTCCCAAGGGCTCTATTAAGCCAGTTAGGGGAAAAAAAAGAAAGAAAGAAAGAAAAAAGATAAATACTTTCTCATCCATGGGTAACCAGCTGTTGACCCAAGTGCCCAAGTAGCTCCTTGCAGTCTCACCCTGTCCTCCAGGACTCTGTGCTTCTCCATGATTCAGAAACTAAAGGGTTAATGTCCCTGGGACCGGACACTGGAGGCCATTCTTTTAGGTTGGGTGGGATGCCTTCACCAAGTTGTTCAATTTTTTTTTTTTTAACTTTTTAATGTGACTTGGGTGACATTTTACAAAGTAGATTCGTTCTACATTCACCAGTTCATACATTTTGCTTTTTGACACTGGGTACATTCCCTTCAGTGTAACGGCTCTTCTCCCACTTCCTCCCAAGTTGGTAAAAATTTGACCCTCACCACTGAATTTCTCTAGCTATGGGTCCCTGCCCTAGATAAGATATATTCCTTCTTTTGCTTAAACTCTTTCAAATAGCCCCTAACATGTTCCCCTATTTTTATTGGTTCTTTGCATTTCTTCTAGATTATTCTTACTTATACATAGCTCTTCACCATCTGTCAATTTGCTGTGCTGTGGTAGCTTGTGTGTTGCTGTGATGCTGGAAGCTATGCCCCTGGCATTTCAGATACCAACAGGGACAGATTTACCATGGTGGACAAGTTCAGTGGAATTTCCAGACTGAAAAAGACCAGGAAGAAAGGCCTGGTGATCTAGTTGTGAAAAATAGCCAATGGAAATTCTATGGATCCCTGAGTATTGTCTAAGACTTTGATTTGCTTACTTGCCCTCATCATCAGGAGGGACCAATCACTGAAGAAAAACATACCAATGATCATGGAAATGACACAGGACTGGACACCATTTTGTTCTGTCATATATGGGGTTACCATGAGTTGGAGTTGACTGGAATGCAACTAACAACAACAACACATAGCTCTGCTTCAATTGTTCTCATGCCCCAATTCTGTCCTTGGCCCCATTTCCTAGGACAAATCTAATTTCTTTGGCTTGACAGTCAAGTCCCTACTTGTCCAGCTTATCTCCCACAGCACTGCCCCTGGCCCTGCACCCATAGTGCTCCATTCACATCTGTCACCTAACTGTTGCCTGACACCTCCTAGGCCACTGTTCTCAACTTGGGCTGTACTTAGAATCATCTGGGGAGTTTACAAAAATCTTCATGCCTAGGCCCAAGCCCTGAAAAATTTCTGTCAGGATCTGGAGGTGGGGGGGGGGGCAAGCCCATGCATCTGAATTTTGCTCTCCAAGTGATTCCAATGAGCAGACAAGATTGAGAACCACCTCACCTGCAATATCCAAACCATCCCTCAAAACTCAGCTCCAGTATTCTATCTAGCTCCATGAAGTCCTCCATGGAGCTAGATAGAAAGTTCTAGCTCCGTGATAACCCTCTGGGCTGCCCATCTTTTTATAGCACTTCCTACAAGGGTCCTCTGGTAACGTAGTGCCTAAGGCACTTGACCGCTAACCAGGAGGCTGGCAGTTCAAACCCACCAGCCACTCCTCGGAAGGAAGGTTAGGCAATCTACTTCCATAGTGATGTTGTGGTTGTGTGCCATCAAGTCAGCCTTGACTCATAGCGACCCCTCCTTGGGTTGCCAAGGCAGTGTCACTACGGAAGTAGATTGCCCAACCTTCCTTCCGAGGAGTGGCTGGCACCGCCTCGGAAACCCAAGGAGGGGTCGCTATGAGTCGGGTCCAACTCGACGGCACATAACAACAACAACACAAGGGTCCTAGGTTTTATTGTATCCTGCCTTGTATGGAAGACTGGTCTCTCCCACTAGATATGGGAGTTGGCAGACATTTTCTGTAAAGGCCCAGATAGTACATATTTTAGGCACTGTGGGACATACAAGGTGCTCTGGTGGCGCAGTACCTAAGGCATTTACTTGCTAATTAGAAGGTTGGTGGTTTAAACCCAGCAGCCACTCCATGGAAGGAAGAAGGGGCAATCTACATCCATAAAGATTTACTGTCTTGAAACCCAAGAGGGGTTGCTATGAGTTGAAATCGACTTGACGGCAGAGAGTTTGGTTTTTGGTTTGTGGGACATACAGTTTCTGTTACTACAACTCAGCTCTGCTGTTGCAGCAGGAAAGCACTCACAGACAACAGTAAACAAATTAATGTGGCCAGTGTTCCAATAAATCTGCATTTGCAAAAACAGGAGTGGGCTGGATTTAACAAGGAGCTGAAGTCTATTGACACTTATGTGAGACTAATATAGCTTCTCAAGGCCAAGAGCTTTTTTCTTTTTTGTAATCCTTGGTGTCTGTCACAGTGCCTGAAGTAACTAGCTAAAACCACAAACTTCTCTTTCTGCAGCTCTAGGTTTTTTTTGGTGTAGTCAGTGTCTCACACAGCCTGGAGCATGGGTAGCCGAGGTAAGCTGAAAAGGCAGAGCTCATCAAGTCAGGCTTTTAGGCAAACTGTAATATTTATTGTATTTATTACTTCCAATGGAGTCCCTGGGTGCTGCAAACAGTTAATGCTCCCACCTATTAACTGAAAGGTTGGAAGTTCGAGTCCACCCAGAGACACCTCAGAAGAAAAACCTGGCAATCTATTTTTGAAATATCAGCCAATGAAAACCCTATGTAGCACAAATCTACTCAGACACACATAGAGTTGCCATGACTCAGAATTGACTGGATGGCAACTGGTGAAAATAAGAATACTAGTAATTTCTAATCAAACAAACAACTTTTATTTATGTGCACAGAACCCTTTGTCATGAGTGATTATACATCCCTCTGGCATGACTAATTTTCCCAGCTGTACATATATCCCTTACCAGACTGCAGGCTGGCATCTTGAGAAGGTTAGTAAGATGCCAGCATCTGAATAGAGATCACTGTGTGGAGGAGGCAGCTGCTCAACTTGCAAATGCAAGCCTTAGGCAGGCCCGCTGATTAGCAGCACCAACAAATGTTAGCATAATTCACGACCATTAGCAAATTACTGCAGACTGGAGGGAAAGGAACCAGGGCTCTGCGGCTCCTATCACAACCAGCCAAGCCTCTGAAAGCCCACCTCTGCCTTGGGGCCTATACTTGTGTCCCCATGTCAATCACCACCAGACGTGGGCCCCTTGCCTCCCATTTTTCAGTAGGGAAACTGGTCAGTAGTTTGTAGGAGTATAACACTCTCCAGGAAGCCTTTAGTTAAAGAAACTGGGGTCACAATGAGGACCTTCATGTAGGAGGACTGGAGAGACCCCAGAATAAAGGGGCCCCCATAGAGACCTGTCACGCTTGCCCTCAGACCTAGATGGCCCCAGGCAAGGCTGCCAGGCTGAGTGTCCCTTTGCTTCTCTTTCAGGGCTCCCAGGAATAGGTGTCTTGGTCTCAAAGGGGACCTCGGGCAAGTAGAGGGAGCGATGGAATCCTCTGGCAGATTTCAAGGTGACAACCTGAGTGAGGAAGATGGAAGGACTCAGCCAGAACACTGGGGTCCCATACAGCCCCACCCCCACTGTCTGCCCTTGGAGGTCCGGAACAGTCAGGGAGAAGCTGGCGCACCCTGACTTCTAACTCAGAGGTCTCAGGAAGGTGAAGACCTGCAGTTGAGAGGCATAGCCTGGGGTTAGAGTGGAGTCCCAAGACTGATGGGAGTGTCAGGGTGAGAATTCTGAATGGCCAATGAGGGAACCACCTACTCCAGAACTGAATAGGCCTTACAAAGTCACTGGCTGCCTCGGAGCTGCCAGATTGAGGAGCCCCCTCATTTCTGCCTGGAGGATCTCGGGGAGGGGAAGGCCTGGTCTAAGGGAGTGATCCTACTTCTACAGAGGGAGGAGACCTAGCCCTTCACTAGAACCTAGGTGAGGACCCTGAGAGCTAAGGAAGGTACTTCTCCTCAAAAGAGGGGGGCCCCCAGAGGCCCACCCCCGAGGCAGTGCCAGGAGGCTTCGAGCAGAAGTACACAGATATGAATCTGATTCGCGTGGGACTCCAGGAAGTGAGGGCTTTAGTCTAAGCCAATTGGATTCAAATAAGAAGAGGGCGGAATCTCAGTCTCTTGCACAAATCAGAGAGGCCTCAAAAAGCCCCGCCCCTGCTGTTTGCCCTCCAGTACCCCACCCGGGCCGGAAGCCACTCGCCTGACTTCCGTCTGAGTGAAGACATAGGTCAGAGTGGTTGGCTTCTTTTGTTCGGCTCACTTGGATTTCCAGGACTGGGCGAGAGTTAAGGTGAGGACTCAGAATGTGGA